TAGTGCTCCATCTTGAAATTTACTTATCTACGTTGTATCGGTCTTGCCTCTATATTTATATATCTAGGATGCAATACGAGGTTGTAAGTAGAATCTTCTAGATTGTGCTTCAAAAGGCGGCATACCATACTTCTAGCATTGCTGGTTCTTTCTTTTCTTTTTTTCTATTTAAAAATTATGCTCAAAATCGTGCTCGATTATTAGACTACCTTCTCCCTAATTACACTTTTCAAACAATATAGACACAAAACAAGTCTAAATTATGTATTTATTGTTGGTAAAACATCATGATGCTGCCTTCCTTATTTTGAGTTGCATACTTGTTCTGATAAAAAAATAATTAACCGCTGGACTTTATTCCTGACTAAAAGCTGCGTGTTACCGCCGCAGAACCATAGTTTCTTTTGCTTTTGTTCTCTTTTTATGGATTGGACATTTACTTTGATATTACATGAGGTGTGAAATGAGAAACTAGTAACCCACATGAAAAAGCACATGTTTGGATTTGAGAAGAAGTATTTTTTGGACTTGTAATAAGCAGTGGAGTTTTTTTGGAGTAAAATTGTGGTGAAACAGGTAACAAATGATGTCGATTTGAAGTCTCGGCAACAGCGGCGACTATAGCTTTGTCAAAATGTTCGATGTTAGCGTCTCGTTTCTCTTAGCTTGGAGGCCATTTTGTCAACTGTGAAAGCGCGAACTGGGACCGACGCAATCTTCACTTCTGGTTTCCCATGACAGTCCTTTTGACGACGAACGAATCACAATTTTTCCAACCTCCTTTCCCCTAGACATTAAAAAAGCCAAATCAGACTGAACCATGGAACGCAATTGGAAATATTCAATCTTAAAGACCAAGCAAGTCATGACTCTGCTAGTGTTCCCTTCGAAAAAAATGAAAATATGCTATAGCTGCATATGACATAGCAAAATCATGCTTCTTTTTCCAAATTTTGCCAAAATTATGCGAGCACAATCTATAGGGCCTAACCGTAAAACCGAGGGTAGTACGCAAGACAGAGGGTACAGTTTTTCCCTATACGGACCAACGTAGGCTGGTGGATGACATTTTGATTTTTTCTAAACCTTTAAGATGTGCGTTTCAAAAGAATCCGAAGAGAGTTTTCTTTGCGTAATGCCAAGGATTTTGTTTTGTTTGATTTTTTTTATAAGTTTAGATCGATCGGCCCTCTGTCAATCAGAGAGCGCATTAGGATGCCTTGGCCGGCTAGAAGATAAATAACAATATCAAACTAGCTAAATTCTTCTTCAATAGATGTGCATCCACTGTGGGGAGATCTGGAAGGCGCCAAGACCTTATTCTTGCCCGTGGATGTTGGGACAAAGGAAGAGTAGCTCATGAAGTTGGTGAGGTTGCTTTAAATTCGATTTAAAACACAACAGTCCAGCAATTCACTATCACTGTAGTCTCCCTCGCAGCCGTTTTTTTTGGGATGTCACGCAACGCTCCCCTAAAAGAACGGCTGCAGACAACCGAACTACATTCCTTTCTCATTGTCCTTGCGGTTTGGTCGCGGTCTATTGAACAGACCAATCACATACCAGAAAATCTGAATGACGTAAGGTTTCACGCGAAAATGTGGATGTTGGGAGAAACACTGAAGAAATTTGTCGAAGAGAGCTCGAAATGTTTCACATGTTCATCGTTGTGCCCTGGTAAAGATAGAGTATATATTTTTGGGAAAACTTCTCGCAATTTCGCTGAAATTACAGAATCTACGCTTAACATAGACGTCAACTGCTACGCCAACGACACGAACGCTAGATTGTTTGAGTGGTTGTTAAAGTTTCAACGAGCAACTAAGAAAGTAGAAGAAGCTAAAAACTTGACTGAAACTCTTTATTCGCACTATTTCAAGAGGTTACTACAAATTATAAAGGTCAGAATATATAAGAAACAGTAAATTACATCAATAATCAAAAGGAAATACAAGACGCCTTTCAATCTAGGCCAAGGGCTAAATGCTTGCTTCGACCTACAGATGGAGATCAGGAGGAAAAAAGCGCGTGCTTACCGTCAACAAACCAGGCGAAGCCTCGAGAAAACTGCAAGTTAGGTCGGCCAACGTCTCCTACACTACTTGTACTTCTTCATTTGCCAGTCCGCTGCCAGCTGGAGCGAACCGGATTAGTTATGTTCGTGGCTTCTTATCACCGGTACAGGAAATCGGCCCGAATTAACGAGTGTTTCCGCACGTTGGCACAACGCAACAACGATAACAATAATATGACCACTTTCATCGGTAACATGGTCAAACACGAGCGGGAGTGCTCAATATATTAACGATTTCCCGAATCCTGTAGGTAACTTAACAAAAACATCTTCTTTCTCGACTAAAACTTTTTTAATTGCAAGCTTCTGGTGAGCTTTAAGATCGAAAATTTTGAACTTTGACGACGCTTTGCGGAAAGCTCCTTCAAGCACCGCCATTTGTCTTCTGTTTTCCACATGAGGATCGCGATAGAAAACGATATCTGACTGGACGAGTCTTAAAAGGTGAGTCTGGCGCGAAAAGGTTCCTGAAAATGGAACCCGAGCTGTGATTGGCCAATTCCCAGAAAGGAATGTAGTTCGGTTGTCAGCAGCCGTTTTTTGGGGGGAGAGTTGCGTGACATCCAAAAAAAGCGGCTGCGAGGGAGACTATTATCACTGAGGTGTCATTTTAAATAAGCGACCCACTCTTACTTTCCTTTCATTCTGTCTGCAGTAATCATTTGATTCACAGAATACTTTTGGTAAAGCCACTGCACCTTGCAATGTTGTTATGAGACCTGTCACAGTTATCATAACTTAGCCCTAAAGACATTTTTTCTACATTCTTGCCATAAAATATGAATGATTATACCTTTCTAGAAAAGCGCACCCTGTGTAGCCAGGCTCCTACCAGAAGAAGGAGATAAGGAGACAGGCGTGAATGAGATAAAAGAAACACTCCATTTTATAGTCCTCCCTTCATAATCTTTTAGGAGCGACAAATCCCCCCTCCTCCCCCTTTAAAAGATCCCTTCGCCTCTCCCCCTGTCAAGATTAATGACCGGACACTGTGACTAACAGACTAACATACTTTAGTGTTATCAAGTAAAAAAAGCTACGTTTTTTTTTTTATCTCAGGTCACGCTTTGGGTCTCTGGCATGAAAATTCCCGTCCTGACCGGGATAAATATATCAGGATATTCTGGAAAAACATTAAGCCAAGTACATAGTTAGCAGTGCATGAAAGTTTTTAAAAAAAATAGTTATTCTTCCGTTTTGTGTTTCTTTTTCTTTGTTCGGTTACCTCGTTTACTCTTAAAAGTGTAAGTATGCAATTGTTTGTAGACATTGGTGTAACCTTCTAAATTTTGATTGCTTATACAGTGTGTGCACGCAGCTTATTCTACCTGGCAAAGCTTTCGTCATATCTTCTGCTTTTTGGGGGGGCATTTCATCCCCCTCCCCATCCCAAAATCCAAATGAGAAAAAAACAAAAAAAACAAAAAACAAAACAAAACAAAACAAGGAAAAAAGTAAGAAAGAGTGCTGTTGTCGTTGCAGGTATTAATTCTCAGGCGTGGGTCTCACCATTTGGTAGTGATCTCATTCGCGAGAAAATATCTATAATACATTTGAATCTCGTGGTGAGGATAAAATTACAGTCAAAAGATTTTAATCGCCGCACATAGGCCACGTAAACTAAAGTCTTCGGTCTCAGTAGAATTTAAGGGAGACGGTCTCGTTTCCGAGGCCAACCTCATCCAATGATTGTCAATTTCCTGAGATGATCATGAGTCTGCCTCAAAGGGCGGGTCTCGTACCAGTAGAAGATGCGAACCAATAATTGTAATGATCTTAGAAATTCATCCGATACACCAAAGAGAGTCTCAATCAGGTGTGGTGGCTGTTACGGCTAACGATAGAGTATCGATGTGGTTCTGGCTTTTACCGCCAACGGTAAATTTCTTTTAACAGCTCAATTCTTTTTGAAACTAACGGTTAAAATAAACCAGTTTTACACCACACGACTAAATATTTTTTTCCCTTTTACGGCCAACAGTTATCCTCGCTGGGACGCTCTAGATATTCTCCTTAAACTCGTACTAGGGAGCACCAGATCATTTTGAAATGATAGTGAGCTTAATCAATTATAAACTACTGTTTTTCAGTTAAAGAAGAAAAAAAAGGAAATGTCGTGGGTTCTTAATCAAGCGGGGGTTTTTTTTTTAATCGTTTTGTTAAATTTCAGAATTTGTGAAGAACTTCATAAAGCTGGGTCGTAAGTTCATCAACTCTTTTGGTTTTCGCTATGATTATCATAGCGTGATGCACTATGGGTCGAGAGAGTTTACCCGGAATGGCAAGCCTACAATCGTGCCTAGACGACGGGGTGTAAGTTGCCAGAGTTGCATTTTTATCTTTTCAACATTTCACCTATCAGGATCTCTCTTACACTGATAAAACTATTTGCAAAGACCTTCTCGAGGCTAGGTCAGAGCTAAAGTGATGTGAAAAAGGCAACCCATTATTAAAATGCAGCATTCAAAGTGTTGAAATAAACAATGCATCGCAGTGGAAAGTTTTTCTTCTTAGGTTTAACAAATGGTAAACACCACAGCGTACACTATTGAGTTATGGATGCACTTGGGAGGTTTGCTAAGCACTCAAGAAGCTAGAGTCGCTCTCGGCTATCGCCTCGAGCGACTCTTACGCTTCTTTCGTGCTTAGCAACCTCCCGCGTGCATCCATAACTCAATAGTGTACGCTGTGGTGTTTACCGTTTGTTTTATAACATAACATTGATACATTGTAGCTAAAGAGTTCCCTTTTATTTAACAAATCTTACGCGACCAGAAAAAAACAAGCGCGCGCGGAAAAATAGTCTTTGCATTTGCTCACGTCAGCAGCGTACACCCATGGGCAAATGGGGGACGCTAAATTGACCAATCAGAGCGCGTGCTTTACTTTGGTTATGTTATGATATGCGTTACTAGTACAGCTGATCGTGTTACAGAGCATATTTTTGTATTTTGTTTTAGGTAAGGCTTTTTCGCGCTCCCGTGAGAGTTAGCAGTAATGACAAAGAACAGATGAAAAGAATGTATAGAAAACCAAGAAGATGCAGAGGCTAAAGGGACCAAAGATACTTGATGAGGTAATTCTTCGTAATCGTGACGGTGACAGTCATTGCTTTTGACCGTTATTGACTTTTATTGAGAGTTGATTTTGAGATTTTTTTTACATATTATTGTAACGAGTCTAGTGGTTTTGTGAAAATGTGGTCAAACGACAGTTTGATTTAAAACTCTAATACACTTTTTTTTTTTACATGAGAACGTCCAGTTATGGAGAAGTGGCTGGTCATTCTTAGAGAGATTTCTCTTGAAATCGTTCCTGAAATTCCCTTAAAATTACTCGCAATAGTACTTGTAAAAATCAACGCAAACATTAATAGGAAATCCATAAGAGAGACCAAATCAGCTTGCGTTAAGGGAAGTACGTCATGTAGTCATGGTCCTGTTAGATTATGACCGATTTTTAAGAAAGCTGTTATCTGAATTTAGAGAAAAAAAAAAAACAGAAAGAAAAAAAAAAACAAAGAAAGCGCGAGTCTAGGCAAGGAAGAGTATAATTAAGGAATATAGAGATCTGCAAACAAAATTTCGCTTCGGGGACAGTCTTTCTATAGTACATACGTGAAAAGCTGTCGTTGAATCATTATTTCATGGTTTTAGTAGGACGGTGGCGTCGAGTTTCATTTTTCAAAAACAGAAAAACAAACGACGGAAAAACAATAAAAATAAAGGGGAATTCGTTCAGTCAGTGTTGACATACTTTTTAACTCGTGAATTGCGCACATGCGACATAGCGAGTTGTAGGTATGATGTGATGAATGGCGCTCGCTCGCTGGCTCGATTGGTCGATTCCTGTAAACTTTTTTCTATTTTAGGCTTTTGAATGCATTTGATAGCTTTTGGCGAGTGATAAACAAACGAAATGGCGACCTTTATTGCTAAGAATAGTGTTAGGGTGAAAAAGAAGCCAATGATAATCTTGAAAGAGTAAGAAAGTATACGTTTTTCATTTGTGAATTAATTAAAGTTTGCCCAATCTCTGAATACACTTTTATCTCTTGCAGCGTATATTTCATTTACGGCGTGAATACTCCAATTTTTAAATGTATATAGCCAGGAAAATGATTACTGTGTCCGAAAAAGAAAAAAAGAAAACAAAAAAAAGGAAGTTAAGCAAAACGCTGAAAGTGAGTGACAAATACTGCCTAAAACTGATAGCAGTGTCCTTACTTTAAGACCTACTTTTTTTCCAAAATGAGTAAGGAAAGATCTCAAAACAGAGCARTAATGTCTTACTCCTCAAAGATTGTTAAATAATACATCA